CAGTTTCAGCATCAAATACCCAAGTGAGGACCCAAAGAAACATTCACCTAGAGGGAACAAGCCGGTGGGAAGATAAACTATTTCAATAGATAAGAGCATCCACACATAACCACAGGATAGCAGAGACCAAAAAGAAGCCTCCCCACTCTGAAAGTCACCCATGATATGAACGAGCACTGAATATATGCAGCTAAACTAGATCTATGACACTGCTGAAAAGCAATTACTCTGCCACATAATAATCACATATTAACATTTCACTGCCACAAAAATTTTTGCTGAATACTATAATCATTAAGATGGACTGTACCTTATACAGCAGCTAAGTTCTCAATTGCACAAAAGTTGAATTTTTGTTAATCAAATTATTTATATTCACTAGAAAAGCTGATCAAACAGATTTAATCCCCACATGTATTACAGCCTAAATTTCAGACAAATCAGGCTTGCTTAAAGTGAAATGAACCTCATAGCTATATATGTAACTCATTTAACCTTCCAGCAAATTAAATTATTTCCAAATGTAGCAGTTCTCCTTAAAAACTATACTTCTCTCAACCTATTTTTCAATTTTCAAATTGCATTTATCTCTAACCTCCAACTCCATAGTTCAGAGTTCTCCTTCAGGGCTTTGCCTACTCCTTTTTCATCCACATAAAGCTTCTACACATGGGCCCCCAAGAGCACCAAATCTCTCTCTCTGTGTGTGTCTCTCTCTCTCTCCCTCTCCCCCTCCCTCTCCTTCTACAACACAAGCACCAGGGACTCTCCAGATTCCCCTGTGATCCACTTTAAGAAGTAATGATTTATTCCAAAAGTTTAGTGGCTGCAACCCAACAAGGTTCAGCTTTGGAATCTGAAGTTTAGAGACAGCTTCATTTAGGAACCAGCCTCAAGAAATTAACCCCAATAAATGATTTCATTTTATAAAAAACACAGTTACTTACTCCTTTGGCACTTAAAGGATAGAGGAATTTTGTGATGATATCCTCACCCCAAAATTTTAATTTTTTAAAATCCCTTTCTATTTGTAAAAGGTAAATTTCAACATTTTAACAGACTAAGCACTTACAATATACCCAAAACTGTCAGATTCATAGATAATCACAAAGGAAATACCATACCTGCCTGTTGTAAGCTTACAATCACACCAGGAAACTAAGAATATTAAAGCCATTGAGGAATAATAAAAGGCAACACATAAATAAGCCAGGAGCCTTACTTTTTGGCACTCACCTGTAATCCTAGCGCTGGGGAAACAAAGGCAGAAGAACTGTCATAAATTAGTTTGAGGCCAGCCTGGGCTACACAATGCCCTTTCAAGACCAGACTGAACTGCACAGGGAGACCCTATCTCAAATAACAAACAAGCAAACAAAAAAGGCATGGAGGCAAAAGCAGTCTAATGTCAACTAGGCTCATGGTCTAGTCTTCCAAATAAGAAGCTAGGACTTCAGAAAAACTCCATTTGTGTTAAGATATAAACAAAAATATGTGCTTTAAAACAAACCCACATACCAAAAAGGTTGATGACACAAAGATTTTTACAGTGTACATTTACATGGAGCCCACAGGCATTTCTATTTTTTTCCCCCATGGGGCCCACAGGCATTTCTAACTTGTTGATACCATCTCCTGAGAATGAGTCCCTGCTCATTCTGCTCCTGTCCTCCAACATAGCAAACACTTTTCTCTCTCCATGCTTCTGAACTATTGGTTCCTATACCTGAACCCTCTTCCCTCACATCTCTTAATGCCCCATGCCCTCACTTCACACAAAGGGCACCTACAGAGAGGGCTTCCCTGACCATCTTCATCATTCTCTTTTTATTAGCCCTTATCAGCACTTAATAGTTGTTGATGTCTTTATTATGTATCTCTCCCCATTAGAATATTAGTTCCATGAAAGCAGGGCCTTTCTCTGTCCACTACATTTCCAAGGGCTAAAACAGTGCCTGACATGCAGCAGTTACTCAATAAATATTAAATTAACATTTATACATACTTTTTGACTTTTCAAGGGTCGTATCTATTTTAAGGACAGGGAACTTGCCCTACATTTTTTAGAAAGTAACTTAGGAATCATTTTGTACAAATACTTTGCTTTACAACTAAGGAAACAGGTCCCAAATGAGAGCTTATCCTAGAACAATATAGTCACCTGAAAGAAAGAAGCTAACTCGAGTTGAATACCTGTGTGACATGCTGTGATGGAACTAACAAAAATGAGAATGTATAAAGTTAAAAATAAAGAACACCCATAAATATGTAGAGTGAATGAAAAAAGGATTCCCTGTGGGATAGTCCTAAACTGTCAAACACTGCCCAAAGGACCTAATCCACTTCTTCCTCTGCACACCTCCAGAGTCCTATTACACTGCTCCATTTCCAAATATCACTACCCTCAACCAATGTGAAGGCAACCAGCAAATAATAGGCCCCAGGCAGAAAAGAGGGAAGTGGGAGGGTCTCACTATTAACTATAGTTGACAGAAATAATAAATGAATACATACACAGATACATAATTACATACACATAACCAACTGCAATGTGCTCATCAGCACCTCTACCCAGTCTTCCCTCCTTACCATTTACTGTTAATTCACATCACCTGAAGTTTCCCTATATTCCTCTACACTTTTTACATAGCTGAGACTTCTCGGAATCCCTTTCCTTGATAAAGTTCTAAGGAGAATAAAAGCAAGCAAACAAACAAATCCAAAAATAAACACAAGAGAGTCACATTACCCAAAGTCACAGAAATAACAGAGGACTCTGCAAAGGAGAGCAAGAGGTACACAACAAACATGCCAAGCTTAAGTATAGCTCCATCTCTAACACAGGAAGTCAGGCAGAACCTTCAAAAGCAGACACCAGAGCACAGGAAGTCTTTTAGCACTGCAGAGATTTCCAAGAGTGGTGTAATGGAGAGATCACAAGAATAAGAATTAGAAGACCAGGCTCTTAGTTCCAGTTTTACAACCAGCTAACTAAATGGCCTTAAGTAAGTCACTAGTTTTCCCTGGACTTTTGATTCCTCAACTAGAAAATGGGTGGTTAATTGTACCAGGACTTGACTCCTCCTCTCCTCTCCCCGCACCTCAAAAAAATGAAAATGATTGATTCTGTTCCACCAAAAAGTGCAGATAAACTGTTCTGCCTGAGAATCTCCCAAGGCTATCCAGGCTAAGAACCCCTGGAAAAGTTAAAGATGACTGTAGTCCCTTCTAAACTTCTATGCTTCTAAGAGACTTAAGCAGATGTCTGTCTGTTCGCAATTGCTGCTGGGCCAGTCTCTCCATTTATAGAAACTCTTGCCAACAGAGACCAAATCCTAAAACCTAGGAAGGTTTCAGGCCCCTCTACGAACAACAAAGTAAATGATATGATCAATACCATTCTCCACCGAAATCAGCCAGCTTATCCTTGAGTCCATAACTCATAATCCAGTCTTCTAGTAGCCCTACAAATCTTGTGTGCCCCCAGGACATTAAAAGGCCACTGGATGTCCTAGCCAGGTAGGATGCAATTAGCAAAGTATGAGAGGAGCAAATACTGTGTCTCTCTCCAGACTCATTAACATGAGCCACAAAATAACACTGAGCACTACGGTGTCCCCAAACCACCAGCAAACTCCGTGTACTTCTCACACTCTCTGTATAACTGATTTAACCCACAACCTAAGCCACATCCCCTTTGGGTTCTCTCGAGGAGTTTTCTCGCTTTTCACACCTCTCCTTCAAACGCCGCTTCCCTTTCCCATCCCAGCGTGTGTCTAGAGCTGCCCAAAAGGTACTCCTTCTTTTGGGGAGGTTTCCCACCAGGTCCCCTAGTCCACGGCTCAGCCCAGCGGCTCTCCTCTGGGCAACAGTCCCAGAATTTCCCGATTTCCCTAGGAACTGAGGAAGGGTTCAATGAAATGGACTCCGTCCCAATCACGCTCGATTTCCCCCCAAAATCTTTTCGCTCGTGCTGCCCTCTCGTCCCCTCTCGGGCTCACACACCAGGACCCTTCTGCATCCCTCGCCTTCAAGCCCGAACTCGCCCCACCTTCTAGCCAGGCCCCGACCCACGAGGGCCTCTCCTATCCGGGACCCCCGAAGCCCTCCCCCGTGTCCACACCGGGAAGGCAGGGCCGCTCCTCCGGCCCCGCCCCGCACCCCACGGTAACCGGGCGCCCC